ACTTTCTTCTCCTAGTAGCAATTCTAGCTGCTGCATTCTGAATTCACTGTAAGGTGTTGAGAGTGGTGGGTGCTCCCTGATAGTAGGGCATTGCAGTAGTCTAAAATGCTGTATACAAGAGCATGTATTAATTTCTCTGTGTCTTGAGTGGAGTGAAAGTGACTTAGTTTTGCAATATTTCTTAACTGTAGGAAGCATGTTTTCGATACTGTTCTAACATGAGAGTTAAATGAGAGCCTTGTGTCTAATATGATGCCTATGTTACGTGTTGAGTCTTTGAGACACATTTTAAAATCTGCGTTAAGTGCTGAAGTGATAGTAGTCCTATCAGTAGTTGTTGTCTCCCAACAACAGAACTTCATTTTTATCAGAGTTGAGTAACAAAATGTTTACACACATTCAAGTCTTTACTTCATTAATGCAATTAACTAAAGTGATAATAGAAGAGTTGTCGATAGGTGTAAATGAAATGTATATTTGAGTGTCATCAGCATATGAATGAAAGCTAATATTATGTTTTCGTATACAATAATGAAAACGATTAGTTAAATATGAAGTAAACCACTTAAGGGCGGTTCCATATAAGACAACCTCAAACTCAAGCCTGTGTAACAAAACAGAGTGGGCAACCGTGTCATAGGAAGCACTAAGATCTAGAAGCACAAGCACTGTTGCATTCCCTGTGTCTGTAGCTAAGAGAATATCATTTACAACTCTTGTTAATGCAGTGTTAGTGCTGTGGCCTGGGTGGAAACCAGACTGGAATTTCTCAAGTATATTATTTGAGTCCAGATACAATTGAAGTTGGGCCACAACTATTTTAGATAGAAATGGGGTGTTTTAGACAGGCTTGTAGTAGTTAAGAACATGTGGATTCAAATTTGCCTTCTTACGGAGCGGTCTAACAACCGCCACCTTAAATTGATCAGATACAATGCCAGATGCAAGGGACGTGTTCATCATACTAATTATAGGTCCTGCCAGTACTTCAAGGGAATCTTTGACTAGTTGAGTGGGAATGGGATCTAGTGGACAGGTGGTTGACTTTGTCTTAATAATTAATTTCATGAGTTCTTGTTCATTAACTAATTGAAAAACACTAGATGTGCGCATTTTGTTTCTGTACCAGACTTCTTTGCAGCTTATTTGATTGTGTTTGAAGTCTGATGGTGTTAATTTTACAGCTTGATAGGAGTCATTATACAGTATATCTGTCACTCAATGATTCAGCTCTCCCCCAGAGACTCTCTATAACAATTCCTTTACTATTTTTTTCAAAAGGAAGTAGCAGCACTTCAAATATTGTGTATTTTTCTCTTTCCTTCCCCCTCCTCACATCCTCCCTATTTATTTAAATTTCGTTCATTATAAATGTATTCCCACAATGTGTTTCAAAGTGGTGTTTATAGTATATGCAATGTGCCTGTTTATTACAGCATGTTTAAAACTGAATCACAATTTCATGCCTGAATGTCTCAAAAATCTTCTTACGGAGTGTGACATAACCCAGATCCAAATGGAGTTTCACTTCCTGTTATTCTGTTTCTAAAAATGCTGTCACACTAAGGACACCCACAAGACTTCAGTGGTCACTGTCACAACTATGCTGAAAAGGAGAAATGTAACTACAGTACTTATGTCCCATGTACACAGCCACTAAAGTTACTCTTCCTTTAGGTTTATGGAAGTGGCACACACAACCAGCAAAATATCTTGCAAATAAATTAGTTGCACAAAGAATATAATCAAAAGAACTGGCACGTAAGTTTACTTATTATATTTAATATTTTGATTAATTGAATGAATTATTTTACATACTTGTTACGAGCACAGCCGGCACTCATTAACTCCAAATAATTAAATCTTCATTCCACACCTTTTCCTTTTGTCGATATTTCAGTTGTTAGAAATAGTAGAAATTCTGTTTGTACACAATATACTTCTGTTTTTTGAGGTTTTGAATGTCATTACCTATTGATGTATGAACACAAATATATTTAGCTGGTTGTGGTAGGGTATTACACTTTCTTCATAAACATCTGCATCTAATTCTTTACCTTGGTCACTTTGAATTACTTTGGAAAAGGTTTGACATGCTTATTGTAACTAAATAAGCTGATAAAATCGAATGCTGAATTTGGTACAGTGGTAGAATTGTCGCCTGCAAGCTAGAAGGGCCAGATCCCATAAAACAAGCACGACCTCCTGGCAGCGTCTACGTTTCCTGGTTACTAATGCACCTTAACAAATTTCAGAATGCAAAAATGCATTCAAATGACTACTAAAAAGCAACTACACTGCTGCCCACAGTTGATACATTGATATAAATATGTTTTTTATAAAAGATTGCCTTTATCAAAGTTGTTAATGCACTTTCTCACTTAGAGCCTATTTCAGCTTAACTTTTGTGATGTAATAATAATATCCTTACACATACAGCACTTTTGGGACATTCCACTCAAAGTGCTTTACAGGTAATGGGGACTCCCCTCCACCACTAATGTGTAGCACCCACCTGGATGATGCACTGGAGGGGTGTTTCATGCTTTTGTTGGTGCATTTGCCTGCAAGCCGAAGGGAAATGGGGCAGTGGGGCAAGTGAAAATGGCTATGGGATGTAATTTTACTTTCACTCGGCTTCTTGTCTGTAGAAGCACAAACTCATGAGGCTTTGGAGCAGTTTGCAACCATTTTTTTCTTGTTGCCATTTTGAAGTGTAAAGGAAAATGAAACTAATTGTAAATAAAATTACTGCTAGGTCAACTATATAGATTAAATCATATAGAAAAAAATATATATAAATAAAATCTAATATGTACACTATATTGAAGTTTTATGAATTTTATATATCACAGTATGTTTAATATTCACTTTACATTTACGATCTCTTAAGCCCATAGCGGCTACTAGGTACTGAGGAGGAGCAGAAGATGGTTACGTCAGACCCTGCCCTCTGAACAGAGTGAGAAAGCAATTCAGAGGTGTTAACTATCCAATCATTACAAAGTTTGCAATGTCACAGAGATTAGCACATTTGCAAGATAATCCAAGGGTATATGAGTTTTAGGTTGTGCAGCCATGAGTCCTGGTCCAACAAGAAGAAAAAAAAGTTTTATCGTAATTAGGCCACAGGGGTAATTATTGTGATTAAAAATAATTATAACAAAAAGTTTCTCTCTATGTAAAATTAAGCTTCTAAATTCTTGAAGTATTTGTTGTCAGGTTAAAAACTACTGTTCTTCGCCCTGCACAGAGGGAGCATCCAATAAACAGTAAATTCCACTCTCCTGTGTCTTAAAATTTATAATGAGACCTGCAGGTGTTAATTATTTAGAACTTCTGCTTACTCTTAGATTATCAATCTAAGATGCCTTCGGTAAATCACTCCACTAAATTTCTTTTCTTATATTTACAAGCAAATGTCAGAGAATGCAGATGTAGAGAGGGAAAGAATGTAATTAATTTTTTTAAGTTTGTGACAATGTTAAAAAACAGTAGGACACTTATTTGTGGATACATAAGAAATCATGTGCATAAGAAATCAATACCAAATGTTATTTTAATTCACAGAGAGAAGATGTAAATTCTCAATTTACTGCTAAACTGTCTATGGTGGATTTTTTTAAAAAACGTTATATCCAATAAATGTCTGTATGGAATACTTATAAAGTATTAATATGCCTTCTAAGAATAACATTACGTACAGATAATGGTTGGAAAATATAGCTGCTTTACTCAGACAGTTAAATTGTACAATCTGCGCAGTGGGATAACATTGTATTTCAGGGCCAAAAAATTGAATGTTTTTGATCGGCCAAGTCACTTACTGAAGATAAGACTGAAGGCAAAAACAAGCAGGAACTGAAAATGGCTGCATTACAGGGCTGGCAGAGCATCTCCAGGGAACATACCCAGCATCTGGTGATGTCTATGGGTCGCAGACTTCAGGCAGTCATTGATTGCAAAGTGCTAAACATGACACTTGTATTTAAGATTATGTTATGTGTCCAATACTTTTGCTCCCCTGAAATGGGAGGACTATGTATAAAAAGGGCTGTGATTCCTATATGGCTCACCCAATATAGACATAAATACCATCGAATTAAAGCTGACTTTCTGCACTTTAACTTCATAGTCATTGTTTCATTTCAGATCCAATGTGCAGAGCCAAAACAACAAACATTCTGTCACTATCCAAATACTTATAGAATGCATTGTAACTATATATTGTGGTGGACAGAAACAACTTTTCTAAAGAACACTAGTAAATGTTTCCTCTGATCATTTGCCTTGAAAGTTTTCTTAGTTACGTTCAGCATAATTTCATACACCCCTCCAATACTGCATTGTCCTGGATATGTGTTCCAGTTCCACGAGATATATGCTTCCCATATAGACTACAGATCCAGACATCAGGTTCCAGCAAATTTTATATGTAGAAATCTAAAGCAAGTCCTTTTAAAATGGTATGCTTATTATTCTCATATGCTTTGCAAAGTTAGAAATATATAATATTTATACCAGAACTTCTTGTTTTATGGATATATAAAGAAAGGCAAAGTGACTAACAATTCATCAGTTCTGCTGTAAGGATGAGGTGGAAACATGCTGTCAGTACACAGAGGTATGTGTCATTACATTAAACAGCTAATAAAGATGGGAAAAGCCAACCATTCACTGAACTTCAGTTATATAGTACAGTTTATCCATAAATTAAGGCATGAGTGAGTGTGAATGTAAGTTATTTGTCTCAGACTAATTTTATTTTACCTCTTAACATATATACTATATATTCCTTCTTTTGCAGTGACAATACTTTTGCAGCTTAGTATGCTTTTGCTATTTGAGCCAACTGTGACCCTGGTTGCTGTGGGATGCTACTAACATTGAATTAGGCAGGTGTGGAGGCATGGGGATGTTGTCTGTCAATTTCAGATTAAGGCTTTACAATGTTTACTCCTCATTTGCAAGATTAACAGTTTTTGAAAAAATAAACTGAAAAAAGTGGACTGGATTTTATTTTTTAAAGAGATACCACAAGCAAGAAAGGTTTTAAAATTAATATTACAAGCAATAAGCACATCTTGCAAGTTAAAATGGATTTCAGCAACAATCTAGTAAAGGTCTTCAGCTGCCACCTGCTGGTTAATGCCAGAGTTCACATGAGACTGCAGGAGCACATGGTACTTTCTTACAGTTTCAGAAAGGTAGAGCAAGGGTCCAAGAAATGTTACACAACTGGAAAAAAATATGCAGAATACACTTGTGAATCCAATGTGAGCTTCATTTCAGATGGCAGCACAGAATATAGAAATATTCAGCAATGTCCAAACAAAAAAAAATATAACCAATTTAGCAAAGTTGATGTTAAAGCTCAAGAGTATTATTTCACCCTGATTGGTTTTTCTTCCTTTTCATACCTTATAAGCTGCTAAACCTGTCCATCCATAATTAGTATTTCTCATTTTTTCTTAATTTAAAGGCAATTAAAAAAGTAAATATTTACTTTTATTTCTACAAATCAAGATGTGTTTATAAAAGGTATTAATATCACTCAAAATACTTTTTTGTTGTTATTGTGTCAGTTTCCATTTATGTCCTAATGTCCAATGCCACCTTTGAAAAGTGGGAGTACTTAATAATTTATAAATAACATAATAACATCATAAATAACACTACATGTGCCTTTCTGGAGCACTACAGACTAAAAGTACTATTCACACTGTTTGGGTTTCTGAGTGAAGGAGGGTTTTTACAGAGGTTCCACTCTGGCACTCAATTAAGCCTTTGTCACAGTACAGGACTCGACACGACTTCTAGTTGGAGAGCATGTCAAATTTAATGACTGCCATTGCTGAATCTTGCTGCCTTTTCTGTCCTACAGGGTGTCAAATTATACGGATTATACTAGGAATTGCAGAGGGTGAATAATTACATGATTCCCTCACAACTTTCCATCATGGTTCCAAATCTCGTATTGCGCCTGCCCGGGACACCCACGGAAAACCCCGGTGGCCAAGAGAGGGAGGAGCGAGCTGACACTGGAGGAGCTCCAAACCAACATCTTTAACATTATGTCAAAGAGCTTGGCTGAGCTGAAGGAAATGATTAGATTTTATAGAGTAGGAATTGAAGGTCTTAAAAAGTCCATGGACTTGTGTTTAAAGAGGTTGAGGACTTAAACAATGAAGTAAAAGTTCTTAAACAAGTAAATACTGAACAACAAAAGCAGATTAAAGAACTTGAATTGAAAGTGAACGATGCAGAAAGATACCGTCGACGGTGGAATTTAAAATTATTTAGATTTAAGGAGGAAAGAGATGAGGACATTGTTGCTACTGTGAAGAGTATCTGTAAAAGAATCCTGCCAGATCAGGAGGACTTGGTATCAGCCATCGATACTGTTCACCGGCTCGGGAGAGCCAACATGTCTGGGCAAGTGCGCCCTAGAGCGAGCATGGCGAGGGACATGCTATGGAAAGTGGCGAGAGGGAATGAATATCTGTATTCAAATAAACTGAGATTTGCAGAGGACATGTCTGCTGGGGACAGGAGCACCAGGATCCAGCTGTGGCCCTAGGTTGAAGCTGCCAGAAGAGAGGGGAGGAGAGCCTACTTTGTATGAGTGAGGGCTTTTGTAAACGGTAAGGAGATTTGCTCCCAGTGACTGCTCAGTTAATCATTGTTATTTTTTATTATATTTATTATAGCAACATACAACGAGTGTTTATTTAGTGTTGGTTTGGAATATTGTAGTCCTGGTTCTTGAAAAGCTCAATAATTTAGATAATCTTATAGTAATTTGATTGTATGTATGTCTTTTATTTTTTCCATTAATGCCAGAGGTTTTCAAAGTGTTGTAAAAAGAAAAGTGAATTTTTTTTTGTTTTGTAAAACAATGAGTGCTGATTTTTTATGTGAAACAGGAGGACTGATTTCTTTTCTGGTTTTATAATTGATTTATTCTTGGATGGGGTGGAAAAGTATAGGAAAGGTAATAACATGCATATAAAGAATCTCTGTAAACCCCATTTTATCCCTCCTTGTTTATCTTTTTGGAATGCGGTGTTTGAAAATATTATTTGGAAATTAGTTTTGACAACTCCTGATAGATATTGTATTACAAATAAGGTTAAAGAGATGTTGTTTAAAATTGTTCATAAGTTTTATCCAGTTAAAATAGTACTCTCTAAAATTAAGGATGAGCAGGATGATTTGTGTGTATTTTGTCAGGCTGAAAGGGATTCTTTTGTACATTTATTTGTAAGGTGTATATAAGTTGTTTTGGAAGGACTTGCAGAGTTTTATTTGTAGGCATTTAAAGGTGTTTTTTTTAAATTTAAGGATTTTGATAGTTTGTTGTACCAAGAGAAAATATGGGGGGGAAAGCATTTATTTATAGTAAATTAGTCATTGTGGGTAACGTTCACATTCATAAATTAAAATGGTCCAATAATACTCCCTTTTTTAGTACTTTTAAGATGGAGTTGAAACTATTTTAATTCTATAAAAAATGTGAAAAGTGCAAAAGCAAGATAACATTTGATACTGTATATGTAAAAATATATAATTTGGTCATATAATTTACTTCATTATCTCTGGCATTTAATTGTTTTTTTCTGTTTGAGTTTATTTCTCTTGTATCTGTTTCTGTTCCTCTAATTGTATTTGTATTTGTAAATTCTTTATACATTCAATAAAAATATTTAAAAAAACATAGAACATACATCTGTGCTGGCTCCAAAGTTCGACAAGCCTCTCCTCAATTTGCAAAACACTTGCTTTCCTTCTTTGCAGCTGCATTGTATGCATTGTACTTCTGGTTGAGCGTTCATTGGCTGTTAACTGTTGCAGGCGCAAGTGCCCACTCCTATGACTGTTTGATTTTATCATAGAGAGTTGCAGAGAGTTGTAGAGGCTATTAAGAGCGCTATGACCTTGTCGCTGGGGGTGTCACGCTACCCAACTGAGGGTAACGGGCATGCGCTGCGACTCTCTACAACTCGCTGTGATTTTTGTACGATTATGTAAATGAAGGCTACAACTTAAAATGCTAGGAAAAGTTATTAGGTATAGGAAACTCCTGTAGAAGTGTGACAGACCTTTTTGTGGACATCTCCTTAATGTGCTGAAAATCTTTTCTTTGTTAATCACATCATATTTGAGAATACTGTATTCCAGAAACTTTTCTTTCTGCTCAAACATTTCGGGATTTCAAATCCAAAACTTAGTATTTGTAATTCTGCCATTTAAAGAACATATATACTGCTTTTAAATTTTACTGAAGCTTTAACAGAAACACAATGAAACCAGTCAAGGAATATTTAGTTAATAAAACTATTGTAAATTGTTATGAGAAGTTTTTTTAATCAAAATTTGTTGATTGCTACTTTTATCAGAACCTTCATTAAACTTCTTGTTGTTAAACTTGTTGTTACTTGTTGTTTTGGACTGTGCTGTGTGTGACTTTATAAATTGCTACTGAATTCCTACTTCATTCAGCTAAGTTCATTCATTGTCAAATTATAATTAAATGATAGCAGAGATAAACTAATTTGATTGATTCTTAAAAGTCACAAAGCTTTACATGATCAAGAAATGGTCACCATCATTGCCACTTATTTCCAGAAGACAGGATATGTAAATATGCATAGAAGTCTTGGACACTGTATGCAGCTCCACAACCATGCAAGAGTTCGGTTGCATTACTGTTTTTGTCTGTTTTGATATGTCTATTATGCTGTTTTTCACTATGGAAACACTAGGCTCAAACTGTATCCATAGTTTACCTTTCAGTTTACCTTTTCAGTGGCCATCTTTCACTGATCAATGAGTTTCTTTATAGTAAAGTGAAATAAATGCAGACAGTTTAGGATGACATATGATGCATGTGAATATAACTGCTGATCGAAATGTGAATATAATTGCTGGAAATATGGTGCATTGAAAGCTCAGTTTTGAATGGAACTGAATGTTTTTGGTTGACCTCTGATCTCTTGATGTAGTTTGAATATAAAATATCCTAAATTTACAACATGGAAGGGATTACATAATATTATGTAAATTGAGTGACTGTGAATGGAAGTTATTTGCCACAGACTATATATATGCATTCTTTTGCAGTGACAATCTGGTTGCTGAGGTATTGCTACTAACACTGAATTAGAATACTGGATGTTAAAGTCTTCATCTCCTACAACCAGGTAGGAGGGAATTATAAGCAATTTCCATTTTAGCCTCAGAAGACATTATAGTTTCTAGAATATTACTGTATATGTCCTGTTTTAAACCAGAAACAAAAAAAAGCATTTTACCAATAAAGCAATAAGTGTCACGAAACGTAGTTCTGGACCCTACGCAGATGGTAAAATCCAGTGCTTGGGGGTCGTGGCGCAGGCAAATAAGTCCAAAACAATCTGAAAGGGGAAACCAGGAAGCAGTCCAAAAGTCCTTAGCCGGTCCATCCGAACAAAGACAGGAATGGGGACAAGGAATCAGGAATCAGGAACCAGGAAGTAAAAACATAACAGAGCCTGGTGCTCTGAGCCACGGACCCAGATGGTCAGGATGCCAGGGAATAAGACCTACCCTCTGGCTACCCCGAGCCCAGGGAATGGGCAAGCCTTGTGGCATCCATCTTCCAATGCTGAGCGCAGAGCTTTGGAGGCATGGGGTTTAAATAATACATACGGAACAAGGGGCAGGTGAACGTAATAATGAAACTTAAATACAAAAGGGGTTGGAGCGCCCTCTAGAGGAGGGCTGACGATTGTGACAATAAGTCTGTAAAGATAATTTGTGGTAATTTCTATATCTAGTTTATTGCTTAGGTCTTTGCTATTTGGCATAATAGTTTAGAAAGCATATTGTAGAGCTCAAATGACATCTCACTATTAGGATTAATATAAACAGTTATGCTTCTTCTGTCCAGACTGGAATCATTAAGGGATCTTCACCTAGACAAAAAAACACATTACATCAATGTTTTGCATGCAATATTTTTAAATCTTCTGAAACAGTTTCATAATCACATATGAATATTTAACCATACAATATTCATAACGTTGAATTGATAATGTAAAGAGGGCACATCTTGGAATATTTTATTAAGCTCATGCACTTCTCAGTAAGGACCATTCCTCCAGACAGAACGTGTCGGGCTCCATCACAATACACGGATTGAGCCTATGAACTGCTTTTTCTTTCTTCATACCAGAAATCCTTGTGTTTTATGGAAAGTAGAAAATGAAAGTCCACTTCTTTGTATAATACCTTGGAACTGTGTGATTTGGAAACTTCACAAACCACTTTTATGATTGCACATTTCATAAAAAGTTAATAATCATCTTAGTCTTTAGTTAGTCATAGTATTAGGTTTTTATTTTACAACCAATGTTGAAAACATGCTTCTTTTTTCTTTCAGTTGCATGGTATCAAGAGTATGAATCTTGAGTGGATTTTAAGTAATCTAGTGCAACAGATTTGTTAGTTACAATTCTAGATTTCTAGATTTTTTTCATCATTCATGGGATTACTGTTTAGGATTTTACATGAACTTGTGCTATTTTTTTACTTTTCCTATAACTGGAAGTCACGTTAACTATACCATAGACCTACCTGTGTTTTGAGTTAATCCAGTGTTTGTGGTCAGTTCCATCTGGAAAAGCGCCCAGGTTTCTGGACCCCAAAAGCAGTGATGAAGATGTTGATGACTGTTGTGACAAACACCAACCATGTGGCCACATTGTTCACAGTATCCAATGTTTTTTGATTGCTGACGTTATTTAGGTCTTTACGAGCTCAAAAACAAGAAAAAAAGACAGACATTTTTTATAGTTAAAATGTATAGATTGTATTGTAATATAAATAGGAAGATAAGATAAACTTTATTGTTCCCTATTGGAATGTTTTTATGGACACATATCTGTTCATCTGAATACATCACAAAACGTTACACATAATATCTATTGAGCATTCATAACTCATCACAAAAAAGGCATGACATATTTATTACATTGGTTGTTATAGCATAGACAGTTTATATTGACCCAATTTCATTTACCCTTGCCATTAATTTGTATTAACTGCTTTAATAAATATGGGAACATTGAATATTTATTTTTTGTCTGAGGTACATTTGGGGAACCTGATCTGATATAATATATTTCCACAAGTCTAATCGTGGATTTTTCAAAAGCCGTCTTCAAGGACAAGTGCTGCTTTACTCCCATAATCTTATTTGCTGTTTGTGTGATTAATTTTTCTTAATTGAACTGATTAATTACCAAACCACACTGTTATACCATATATAATAACTTTCAATTACAACACGGTAAAGTAGCAACGTCTGTCTGTGTATATTTCTATTCCTAGTACTTACTGTACTGTATATGAACTAACCTGGGTAATAAGTTCCTTGTGAATCACTTCAAATGAATTGTCACCAGCCTCTTTGGGATCAAACACAATTTATTTAGTTTTTTTAGTATTCAAAATCAGGTGATGTTTGTAATTTTATTCTGACATAAACATAGGCAAACCACTTTGTCTTTAAATTAAGATGTTCTTGTAAACTGTATAATATCCCTCAGCTATTGTGCTGATCAACTGGCTCCTGTGTTTACCAACATTAATAATACTTCACTTCTTTGGCAGAAAGTAGCAAAAATACCCTGCCTCAAACACTACAGACCAGTTGCTCTGAATTCAGTGGCTATGAAATCCTTTGAGCATCTAGTGCTTAAGCACCTCAAGCACTGTACATCTTCCCTGCTGGATCCTCACCAGTTTGCCTTCAGGGCTAACAGGTCTGTTGAAAACGCCATCAACCTGGCTCTCAATTATATACTCCAGCATTTGGAGAAGCCAAATTCCTATACCCGCATCCTGTTTTTGGATTTCAGCTCAGCATTCAATACCATTAATCCAAATAAATAATTCAGTAAACTGATGGACTTGAACATCAACCCTGCTATGTGTCGTTGGATTCTGGACTTTTTAACACATCGCCAACAGACTGTCAGGGTGAATAATAGGACATCTTGCCCTCTGACTCGCACCACAGGTTCTCCTCAAGGCTGTGTCCTATCTCCATGACTTAATGCAGATGACCATTGTTGGCCTCATCTCGAATGATCATGATCAGATTGACTTGGGAACAGCCTGGTGTTTGAACAACGACCTTCTACTCAATGCTTCTAAAACCAGGGAAATTATCTTTGACTTCCGACGCATCCAGAACACAAAACGTCCACGTTTTCCATGTAAATAATTCCCTGGTTCCGCACCCCTGGGTGTTACACTCGCTCTCGCTCGCTCGCTCTCTCTATTCCTGGGGCTCGCGCGCGGGCTCGCTGACGCTCTTGGCGGGCTGTTGGTGTGTCTCTCTGGGTGTCTGGGTGCGGGAGAGCTGGCTGGCAGGTGGTGACGGGGAAGAAATAAAGCGCAGTTTTCAAACTCCACAAGTCTGAGTCTCTCTGTTCATACTCACCGAACCCGGAATCGTTACAATATTCTCAGTTGCATACAGTATTAATCAAATTATTTACTTAGCTGCATAAGCTGTATAATAATTCTAACTAGCTCCAATGTGATTTACAGTATAGTAGCAAACTATACCTTTAATGAAGTGGAAGGCTTGTATAAGCTGTACAATTGTTAATTGTTCTATTATCTGCAGTAGGGGTGCCCAACCGGTTGATCGCGATCGACCAGTCGATCTCGGAGTGCTTGCCAGTCGATCGCAAGAATGTTTGGCAAAAAATAAATGGGCTATTTGACTACTTTTTTCGATAGCCTAAACATTCATTCAGATCTGTGTATGTAATGTCATACATTTTACTGCCCTCGTGTGTGTTTAACCCTTTTTGAATGGGTTGTAAAAGTCTCTTCCCTGAGTGCTGGCTGACACTGAAAAAAAGGCTACACGAGCTCCATTAACAGAGTTGCGTGTGCTACTCAAGAACGTTCTTAGTTATTGCTGCGGGAACCCCACATTCGCTACAGTGCATAGTGGAGCGAAACAGACTGGCCGTGACAAATTCGCCAACAGTTTGGTAAGTTTGATTGCTTATTTGATAGTTGTAGTGTTTGAGCAAAAATGATGAAGCAAAGAGACCAAAAATGTACCGTTACCACACGGAATGGGAGCATGATAATTTTTTTGTACTTTCACATTCAAATCTGCAATGCTAGCATCTACGCAAAAAAGGGAAATATAGAACAACATTTCAAAACTGCACACAAAATGTATGATGTGGACTTTCCCCATAAAGCAAGTTACGGAAAGGAAAAGTAGAAAAATTAAAGTCTCATCTAGCAGTCGGTTTTCACGAGGCCTAATACAAGAGGGAAAGCGGCAATCATTGCATCGTTCTATGTGAGCCACATCCTGGCTAAACACAAAAAGGCATTCAGGGATCCAGAAGTAATAAAAAAAGTGTTTGTTGAGGCTGCTGACTTGCTGTTTGGAGATTTTTGGCGAGGTTCTGACAACTGTTGCCTGAAATCAAAGAGTTTCTCGAATCGTCTAAACATGGTAAATATGCCTCATTAGGATGACCAGTGGCTTCTCTGTGAGCATTCCTCACGGACTTGACTGAACTGCAAAATGAGCTGAATGTCAAACTGCAGGGACAAGATCCCCTCTCTGACGTTTGTCTAGTTGTCTTTTAAAAAATCATCAGGTTTATGTTTGAAGTCAAAACAAGTGTTTTGTTTCTAATTGGCAACGCAAATTTGTAGGTTTTAAGCTTTAAATTGCCAAAACTTCGTAGCACAAAACACGTTTGGGTTTAGGTTAACTTTCGATCCCATTCCATGTAAAGCCTGATTTTATATATTTGTCATCATACTTCCTGACTATCTTATTTTTCTTCACTGTATTTGTTCTTTCAGAAATTGTGGTTAGGTCTTTCCATTTCAAACATCGCTGATTTCTTTGCTAAAATCTACTTTTGAATTAGCATCGTGTTTTTGTTTCAAATGACCAGTTAAAATCCATTTTTCCATATTGATCAATATAGGAATTTATTTAAAATTAATAAATTAAACTGATTCTTACATGTTATGTTGTCATGAGAACGTAAAAATCACTCCAAAAATAGACATTCAGTTGTGTTGCGTAATTAGATACAGTACAATGCTTAAGAAGGATTGAGACAGACTGAGGCGGAAGTAACGAGTATTGAATCTGCAAACGCTTGTGAGTTTAGGTATGCTCGTCAAGAAGGAAAGTGCTATAAACGTATAGATTGTTTGCACCTACCCATGACAATGAAAAGAACTCCTGCCACCACTTGAAAGAATAGTGAGACTCCAATGAGGACCAGCAGAACCATGTAGTACTTGAATTCTGGCCCCTGCTCCACCACGGACTTTAGCTGTGAGGCATTTGCCATGAGCAAGGCTACATCCAGCATGCTTTCTGCAACACTCTTCTTGGTTGCATAGTGGTTCAGGTTTATGGGGATCTGGTCTCTTCTACCATGCCCAGACTGTCATTAAAATGAAAAAAGATAAGCAAATGATCAGTAATCAAGGTACAGCAGTACCTACTTCTGTCATTCAAAATGTGTGATGCCATTTTTGTCTGTTCCCAACTGAAAGTATATGTAGACACATTCTGTTTTTTAGGACTCTTAATGTAACTGGGAGTGCATACATATTTATTTTAAAAATATACTGTATAATAATCAAACATATTTTTTTCTGGATTCCAGGAGTTCCTGGCTCTGGTCAGTGAAGGCTTCTGATATATTCTTTATCATTCCTCCTTAGTTTCCTGACTGAATTTAATGTTTGAATCGGACCAACACATTTGGAGACCTACAAAACCTGTAGTGTTGTGGTCTATGGTTTTGAGAATTGTCTGTTTTACTGCAGTGCAGTAGCTAAGGCCTCCGTAAAATGTCTGTACCGTTAATTCTTCTGTTATGACAAAGAAAATGTGCTTGAACTACAAGAGGAAGCTTTTCAATACTGGGATTTCAAATAGTGCTTAACAGTTGAAATTAGATCCAATCAAATATATTATGCCTCTGAAAGACATGAGGTACAGTAGTTATGTGTTATGTGTTTTATAAACACCATTATATTGCTTTATGTACAGTGTTCTTTTATAGCCTTTATAGATTAATTCAGAAAAAAGTTACTAGTAAAAATGTAGTAGTAAAGCGGGCCTTCCTACTCACTAATCACTGTAATGACTAATGTAATGCAGTGTACGAGCAAATAAGTACAGGTTGTGCAGCAGACATTTCACTGCAGCAGTGTTCTAATGTGATATGCATGCAGAGTTGACAAGTAAGTAACGTTTGTCTGCCAGACCGTAATGTAATAGGCCTGCTTCACATCACCGGAAGTTTTGAGGCCTTGTTCTGAATCTTAGAATATGGCACTGCTCATACTTGGAAAATGTTGTCTATTTTGTGATGTAAATTGGAGGTTTTACAAATTACTGTGTACATTTTACTTTTATAATGGTTTGAAATGTACTCATCAATGCTGATTCTTTCTAACCTTGAAATATAAAAATAGTGTTGCAGTTCCCTTTTAACTTTTTTAACACGGCAAAGATGGATGTTCTGTTTTTATTCTCGGTTTGATTCAACAACTCTCCATAAGATTTGAAAGGGAATAACTCTTTTACTCGGGTTGACTAGCACACCATGCTGTGTTACCCTACAGCTTACACCACTTCCACTATTCCTATGCACATGCACGAATTAATATTCTTACATAAACATTATTGTTATATCACTACATCTTCCATTCTTTAAGAACAAAACAACTCTGGCCTTTTTTTCTTTCTTTAAGCCTTTGATTTTTGTTGCATTAGTATTGTTTTGCTTTATTATGGTAAACTAAACAGTATTTCAAACTTTATACACAATATCACACTCTAGACCACTCAAGGTAAGTATTATATTCTGATCTCTGTCTCTAGTATGACTATCAACCTTACAAGCCATTTCCAATGACAAACTGATTTTCCAAGTGGTAAATCTTGACTTTTAACTGTTGATTCTTCACTGGTAATCTGATGTCCTTTTTCAGACCATGAGTAATTACAGTCTTTTTCCTTCAGAAGATCCTGGCAATTTCTTTATTGCACCGAACCATCTTCAGTCCTAATTGCACAGATGCAGCCACTCAGATTGCACATCTGAACTCACTACTGTGGAAAAATAACTTCACCATAGGGGAAATGAACCACTCATAGTCTCACTGTTGGAAACAGAAAAAGTAACAAGTGTCGTATTTAATATAAATCATTTAATCTGATGGGCTTTCTTCATGATGAGGCTGGTATTAACATCCCACTTCAATGAGTGGCAGATGGTCATGCCAAGAAACTTGAAGGTTTCTACTCTTGCCACAGACTGGCCATTAATGACAAGAGGTGATAGATCACCTCCGCCCCTATGAAAGTTTACCACCATCTCTTTGGCCTTACTGATGTTAAGCACCAAACTATTGTCATTACACCGCTTGGCAAGTGCACTGACCTTGCTTCTACAGATGCAGCCATTCAAAATGCACGGTACAACCCTGTAAGGTGCAAAATTATCTACAGTTCACCGCGTTGTACCGCAGTAAGTGATTAGCTGGCCAAAATGACTGACAGGTGCACTCGTGGTGCGTTGGTTGTTAGTGAAACGATTTAATTATTTAATCTCTTTACTGTGCATGTTTTAATCCGCTTAATATTGAATATATGGAATTTTACAACTAAAGGGAAAATTTAATAGCTGAGCCTTAAAAGAAGAGGAGCATAACGTGTCTGAAGGTCATAAACTATATTAATTTAGGAACATAACTATATTATGTAAACTGTATATGGCTGGTATTGATAGTTTCAATAAAAAATACACACCAGTATTCAACTTTCTTCATAAATATTTTAAGCATCAAAGTCTTTCATTCAGTTACATACTGTGGTTATTTTGGAATAGTTTTTATGTGTTCCTTCTGACTACATTAAGTTTATATACTTCATAAAAAGCTATAATGTTTTAACCTTTCCTATGTATATTTGCGCTCATTATCGCAGTAAAAAAATGAACACTTTTTAGAATTTGATAAATAGGGAATATAATATGGAATCACGTATCTAAAGAAATTAATAACTATATAATTATATTCATTTAGCTCAAATTATCACAGTAGTACACTTTTTGAAAATGTCTGAATCAGTTTAACTCATAATAATAATAATACACTTTATTTTATATAGTGCCTTTAAAGGTGGCTTCTCAAAGTTCTTTACAGAATGACAACAACAATAAATTACAATATATAGAGGAGACCGTGGATGGTGGTACTAAGAAAAGCAGAGGTGTGAAGAATGGAACCAGTTAAGTAAAGGCTTTTCTAAAGAAGAAGGTTTTGAGTCTGGATTTGAAGTAGTTTAGAGAAGGTGGTTCTCTGATATCCTTGGGAAGAGAGTTCCAGAGCTTGGGGGCATAACAGGAGAAGACCCTGTCACCCATACAATGTAGACAGGCTTGGGGGACAGTAAGGAGAGCAGAATTAGAAGAGCGAAGGTTGCGAAGTGGGGAGTAGGGTGATAATAGTTCAGACAGGTCTTGAAGTGCCAAGCTATGCAGAGCCTTATAGGTGAGCATGAGGATTTTAAAGTCTACATGGAATTTGACCAGAAGCCAGTGCAAGGACTCCAGGATAGGAGTAATGTGATCATTTGCATTAGACCTGGTCAGGATTCTGGCTGCTGAAGTTTGGACATACTGCACTTTGTTCAAAGTAGATTTAGATACCCCAGCAAGTAGAGCTTTACAGTAGTCAATTTGAGAGAACAGAAATGTGTTGATCAGCTTTTCAGCCACAGTTAGTGATAGCATAGAGCGTAGTCTAGCGATATTTCAGAGGTGAAAAAAAGATGTTTTGAAAGTATGCTGCACATTTGGGTCGAATGTTAAGCCAGAATCGAATATAACCCCAAGGTTTTTCAATTTTGATTGAAGCTCAAGTACAGAGCCATCTACAGATAGGGTTACAGGACTGGCTTTACGAAGTTGGTGGGGGGTGCCAATAAGCATGACTTCAGTCTTGTCGCAGTTAAGATGAATGAAGTTTTGAGTCGTCCAAATTTTTATGTCAGAGATGCAATTAGATAGAATATCAGTGTCAGGTTTGGTATGGATGTATATTTGAGTATCGTCAGCGTAGAAATGAAAGCTGAGGCCATGTGATCTTAAAAGCTGACCAAGTGGAAACATGTAAATGCTGAAGAGCAAGGGGCCCAGTATTGAGCCCTGAGGAACACCAGACTTAACAAGACCAATTTCAGACCTGTACCCATTAAGAGAGACAAAGTGACAGCGATCAGTGAGGTAAGATTTGAACCATTTGAGAGCAGTGTCAGAAACTCCAAACACAGTCTCAAGACGAGAAAGTAGGATGTTATGGTCAACAGTGTCAAAAGCAGCACTGAGATCAAGAAGGATGAGTATAGAAAGAGAACCAGAATCAGAAGCTATTAGAAGATCGTTAGTGACTTTGACCAGGGCAGTTTCTGTGCTGTGAAGTTGATGGAAGCCAGATTGGAGGGGTTCAAAAAGGTTATTTGTCATGAGGTAATAATGTAACTGAAGTGTGACAGCATGTTCTAGAATTTTGCCAGAAAGGGAAAGTTGAGATGGGGCAAAAATTGTTTAGATTGCCCAGAGACATGTTAGGCTTTTTTGGCATGGGGGTAATGGCAGCAGTTTTAAGGACCATTGATACAATGCCAGTGCTCGTAGAATCATGTATAATATTGAGGACAATGGGACAGAGAGAAGAGAAACGGGACTGAAATAAAGTGGTGGGAATGGTATCTAAAATAGATGTGGTGGGTTTCATGCGTGTAACTAGTTTATTGAGGGATGCTCAGTCAAGAAGACAGAAGCTGGAGAGAAGGGAACCGGAGAAGTTGGATGACGAGGGAGGAGGTATGGAAATGATATGCGTAGTGGAGAGAATGTGATGCTGGATGTTGTCAATCTTAGAACTAAAGAAATCTAAGAATGTGTTGCAAAGTTGCGATGAGGCAGGCAATGTGGTGGGGCAGTTTGGCTTGAGCAGTCTGTTGATGGTGTAGAAAAGATGTCTGTAACCTTATATTCAGACGAGTAATCTCTCCAAGCCTGATAATGTACATTTAGGCCAGAAAGACGCCTCTTACGCTCAAGTTTGTGAGAGGCTGCCTTCATGGATAGCAGATGGTCGTTGTACCAAGGGGGCAGGGTGAGAGAAGGAGATGGTTCTATTTTTTAAAGGAGTAAAGGTGTCAAGGGTAGATAAAAGAGCACTGTCAAGTAATTTTATTTTGTCCTCTAGAGGGTCAGAGATAAAGAAACAAGATAAGGAGGACAAAACAGAATTTGCAAACTTGGGTGATCAATTGATCACCAGTTGCGGAAATTTACAGAGCATGGGGGGGAAGTGTTAGAAACAGGTAATTCCAGATTGAAAAGAATAGCTTAGTGGTCAG